CATATATCTTAGTTGTTGTTTCATACAGAAGTTACGAATTGGTAAAGTCCTGCTTGCGATATTACGCAGTTGTTCATTTGAAATTTCAAATCTCCAGTCAACGTCAACTGATTCATTCCGACGATCTGAGGCATTTTTGCGTTTGTAGCCGCCTCTAACCATTATTCTTAAAAAACCGTGCCATATAACCTCCAACTTTCCCAGTTCCTCTTCTGAAAGCTCCCAGGCTTGAACGCTTTATAGTAATCTCGATCTTACACATGGATTGAGGAATTTAACTCTTTTTGCTAGCTGGATAGCACGTGTTTYAGCTCTTCCCATTTCTGGAAGGCAGCCCCTATTCTCGTGTGCAGAATTTGAAAGGATTTTGTTCAGAAAAAATATCATGGTTTAGGAGAAAGRGGGCTTATAAAAAAAGTAAGGCATAACTGTTATATTGAATGATATCATTGGATATGAAATATCCTCTTTAGCCGGGTCCAATGTCTTCACATACAACTCTCAATAAGTATATCAACAGAATGACACAATAAAATGACATCATGCTTTATTGACTACACACTTATTACATGTCATTTATGTAATTAGGAAACCGCTTTAGCACTGCTTGCAGCTTTTCTTACAGTTGGCAAGCATCCATGTTGYGTTCTTTTGGCACTCGCCGATTCCTGCCCAGTAACTGCAGTTCTTGTCAGTGTCAATGCAACCTTAACGAGTGKAAAATAAATAAATAAAGCAACAAAAAAGAGTGCGTTACGTATGATACGATGGAAATTRCAGAGTTAAAGGTTGATGAAAAGGAATAAAGAAGATACCAAGAGAAATGATCATTTACATTGGTTACAGCTTTTCTTGCAGTTGACAAACATGTAAGAAGGGTTTTTTGAACACTCTCCAATGCTTGCCCAGTACGCACAATTCTTATCGTTGTCTGCACAAACTATAAAAGAAAAATAACTCTTTTAATTTATGGAGCTCATTCATGAAAGTTGCACCTACTTTCACATAAAATCCACGCCTTTGAATTCAAGATTGTTTCTCTATGCACTGTGCATTTTAAGTTACTCACTTAATACGTCTAGAAATGTATATAATAAAGGGCGATAGTCTGATGATATGCATTCTAATTCGCTTGATCTCTTTTTTATGTACATCAATAGAATAAAACTCGGCCTAATATGGATGTCTCTGCTGTGATTTACGCATGGTTTTGGAAACAYGATTAGMAGCAGGGGAGGCCAGTTGCTTCTTTTCCTTGTTTTAATRCATTTCTGTATTTTTCGACCAGAAGTCTGCAAGCATGTCGTTGAACATGGTCATCATGCAAGCAAAGCAATTTATTTGAATTGTTTTAATGTCTGTTTTACCTGACGAACCACCGCCTCCTCCACCACCACCACCGCTACATCTATACAGAAGATTCATTTGCTGGATATCGATTTTGCTGACATAGTTACGCTGACCAATCGTGACCTGCAGAAACAATAATTATTTGTACTTCACGTCTCCAGTAACTTTATTYTYATTACTCGCTCTGTGTATCSTACGTACCCCTTGCCGTTTAGGTGCAAGCGTAACTTTAAAGTTGATGCCGAATGCTGTTGGGCCATAGTGCATTATACTAGCGTAGTCATATGCTGTGTTCAGTGAGTCRATGGTCGATCGTGGGTACTTGTCAAAGTTGTATCTCATGTCTGAGAACAATGGCTGAATTAAGCTATATATGTGTTATATTTACTGGATTTTCGAGGGAACAGAATTCATTGTCAGGGTTTCAGTTTCGGAATGATGGATGTAATTTATCATAATAAAAGTGTACAAAGATTAGAATCCGAAAATAAGTGTTAAGCATATGAGCAATGACAAAGAATTTTGTCTATAAATGTAAAGGCTGATTTACACGGTACGATTTGTCGCGCGCGACTTGTAGTATACGATTTTCCTACTACAAGTCGTAGGATTTTAAGCAGTGGTTCAAAACCCTACTACAAGTCGTAAGTTGCGTACGACTGTTGTAGACAAGTCGTAGGGGCATTTACACTGCGCGATTCAAGTCGTATACTACAAGTCGCACGAGACAATCGTGCCGTGTAAATCAGCCTTAAATGGATTTAATGCTACTTGATATGTACTTTTCTGAATGTTGTTCCAGTAAATGGTGACGTAATTGTCGCGATCTGGACGAGACTGCTCATGATAAAATCCTAAAGCGTGACCTGAAATGGAAAAGAAAATGACATTTTAAATTCCAACAGACAAAAGCGATGACGAACACAAATAAGAAGATTTTAAGCTTTAATTACAAATAAAGAGTGAAATTAGATCGTTGGTCATTTCATGCATTCAGTAGGGGAAAGTTCTGTTGAATGATGGTGGTGGTTGGTGTTGGAGGGTTGTAAGGGTTTGTGATCGATCACAATTCATACCTAACTCGTGAGCCACTATTCCAGGTGTCCAGCAACCAGACGCAAGACTAAGATACTGTAACCTGTTTTGTGTTCCAACTTCAGAAGAACACCTAAACATACAGATTGACAGCAGTGAGGCAAGGACAACGCTTTAGTCATATCTAACATCACTAGGTAAACTTATGAGTAAATCATACCTACCCTTGTCCAATATGCATATACACGTACGCTGACTCAGATGTTCTTTGTTTGAATTGAATGCAAGTATTGTCTGACCACATTTTCATTCCTTTTCGAATGGCGTCCATTGCTTGGGAATTTCCCTCTACGCCAAAACAAAGAAATTACTAGTATAAACTTTGAGATTTACAGATATATTTTTATCTTTAAATAATTGATCGAATTTCCCTGCTTTATCAATATCCTCAAAGGAGGGTCCTTTCCTTTCATAAAATCGTGAATGTTGGGCAAGATGCATTATGGGATTGACAAAAGTACACGTGTTTTTATCCCCTCAGTTGCGTGTCACGCCGTTTTGCGACAACAAAAAGCTTAAATCATTTCTCGGCCAGGACTCTAATTTAATGTTTTTCTACAACGTTAGGTTTGCAAAGRTTTGTTTTCCATGAATGCCAAAATGGATTTTTTGCTGCAACRAGCATATGTCAGTAGTTAAGTGGGAAGGACCATTTTTTTAGCCAAACACACTGACATTGAAAAAGAGCGTACGAATGTACGGTATGAATGCAGAATAAAAAAATGAAGAATAAGATGTTCATATCTGTCTCTAGAAGGATTCAATTATACTGATTCTTACTGAGTTGTGGTGCGATGTCGTATACCAAAACTCCTCCTGGCCAATGCTTGGTTTTTATTGAGCCTCGTGTCATGGAAGAGTCGATATCGACTCCCAATTGTGCTGCGAGYCTTTGGCTGGGATTGATAATCATATCACCCTCAAAGACGTTCGATGCCTTGATTCCTCTGTTTTCTAAAACGATAATAAACGACAGSAGAAATCTTTTGACTGAAACATAGTTTGTAGAGAGAAATGTTCCCCTCTATTAACTATGACTGAAAGCAGCTACTGCTTTTTAGATAACATACCTCTTTACAAAAGAGGGAAGCTTCCCTGACATTGTGCAATACAAAGGATAAAAAAAGACACGAAATATCACACGAGCATGATGCTCTTTCTGACAGCGTATAGTATACACAGACACAATGAATACTCACCATCGGGATTTGCTTGTGAATTTACACTACAAGCCAGATACAATACTACCAATAGGAGCTCCATTGTGGAAAGTGCCATGGAACACAAAGGTTTTGGCTTTTTTTTATTTCACACATTCATCTGGTCAGTCTGAATAATCTATCTTTGACTGCAATATACTTCCAGAACTATTAGATTTATTCAGATGAATAAATATTTGTTTCTCTATAGCGAACTCRTTTAAATATGATGCGACGTCACGCCAAGTGACATTCGTGATATCCCTGAACTTCCAGATCTGCACAGATGAATAAATAGAGTCTTGCAATGCTCACTAATGGTGACAGAGAAGGAATGACTGCAATGTTTGTTAGTGTCAACATGAAAAAGGCTCTGTTCGTGGAACAAAACAATGATTTCTCTTTCTCAAGAAAGAAACCGGCATACTATATTATGTGATTAGTATGAAGTACAAATTCAGGGATCGCGGAGCAGGAGGGAGGGGTGTTGGGGGGCTATAGCATGGACCGCGGAGCAGGGGGGGGCTGGGGTGCTATAGCCGCCCCAATAATTTTTCCAGCGAAGAGACTCTTTACGAAATTTCACTTTTCATTCTGTAACTGGGATTGAGTAAAAACTGAGCGTGAATAATTAAAATTGAAGCTTGCGAAGTCTTTGGGATTTTATTGAATATCTAGTGACCGTGTGTGCAGCTCATTGATGTAGCTAAAGAGTTCATTGATCGAARCGACAACAGAAAAAGGAACTTTGACGATTTTATGAAGGAGGCTCTAATATAAAAATTAGGTAAAACCAATAGCGGAGCTCCCAAAAGATGCATGTTGGATAAAAATGGGATGCAAGGCACATTGGTCAACAAAAAACTTCCATGGCGCCACATTAAATATTAAACTTTACCTCTTSAGCTGTCGATGCAAAGCAGTGATATATAATATATAATATAGCTCTATGTAAAGAAAACTCACTTTGATTTCTTGCCTAATTTTGTGTGCATTCAGATAGTGCACAATTTATTATGAAGAGTACACCATGTATAATGCTACATTAATCTTATTCTATTAAAAACATAATTTAGGTTATTTACAAAATAAAACTTCCTTAGATAATATGACAGAAATCATAAATTAATATTAATTTTTAATTAAACATGCATCTCTTCTTCTCTGTAGTACCTAAGTGGCACATAGCGACTTCACCAAGAAAATCCAATCTCCTCTGCTGTTAGCAATCTTTTCTATTTCTCCCCAGGTCTTTCCAATATTTTTGATAATTTTACTACGTCCGTCCAAACATTTCAATCGAAAAATGACCAAACGAAAAACATAAAGAGGGGGATTCGGCTTCATGCTGAAGAAATTCAAAAAGATTCTTTGGACAGGTTTTTGAGATACGACGTTCGACATTTGTATCCGTCAGATGGGCAGACTAGCACTAAAACTACACTTTAAGTATTCTGGCTCTGTCTTAGTGTAAAATGAGTTCTTTTGGGTTGGGGTGACTTGAGCTACACGCCTGTAGCTGTACGAGAGATACTCCGTGTACAACGTCAGGTTAGACACAAACTCTCTTTATTGCTGGTACTTGTATCAAGGTTCTTTACATCTATATCTTTGAGTTAACTGAGCGAGCAAGCCTGAGAGACTCTCGGTGCGAGCGTAACAGTAACTAACAGTGTCTCTGCGACTCTCTGTATCTCTGAGCCTCTGAGAGTGTGTGAGAGTGTCCGCCCTGAACTAGGATAACTGATCCTATTTATAAGTAACAGTTGTGTAAAGAAGATAAGTTTAACACCGTAAAAAAGTATGGGAAATAACTTACTATCTAACTTACTAACTTACACTAGTTTACCGCTAGTTCCCACCATGATCCTATTTATACTGTTTCATGTATCCGAATATGTTAAGATTACATTTACATAACAAGGCGTTTGGCCATAAGTCAAAATCCTAAGAAATATGTTCTTAAATGAAAGACTAACATTTGTTATCGTAAATAGATCGATACTTTAAAGAACTAGTCCTATTTTTGTGTTATTTTACTGATACTGACGAGAAGTATTTATGTTATATAAACCTATTTTCCTTGATAAAACTTTTACTTCATTAAAACTGCAAACATGATGCTTGCTCAATAATTTACGATATTTGTCCAGATCTATATCGTTCGTGCCAGGAAATGGCAAGGAAAAACCAAGCGTAGGAGGTGTGCCAAACAAGCGTATCCGAGATAAACAAGATGTATTGCCAAATTTCATATAGTTATAATTGTACTAGCTCGATGGCTAGTCGATACAAAGTACGATAATTTTGAATGTAATATTTAGCAATATTACATTAGCAACGAATTGACGAACAGCGCCCAAACTAAACATGAATGTAGGAATAGGAACAAAGTTCACTAGCGCAGAAATCGAATGATCTAAATGCAATAGAAGTCGACATAACAATTTTTAACTTTGTGCTTGAGCTTTTTCTTTGAAAAAGCCTGCTCCGTGTATACGAGATCATATTTTAAGTTGCGCTCGACATAATTCGTCTAAAATTTTCACACACATTTGTAATACCACTAGTAATAACAAGATTTGGAAATATTTTAGAGAAAATAGGGCTGGTTTGCGAAATATTCAAGTTTAAGTGTTTTCCAGGATTTCCCCATAACTTGAATAAATTATACTCGATTTTCATGAAATCTATATATAACATATTTTGGTCTTTTATCCTTCATTTGACAAAATATTGACCGGATCAAAGCAAAATAAACTGCATTTCGATGCGTTTCTTTCGTAATGGTCGGTACTAAAAACAACTGTCCCCAGATACCTTAAAACCACGTTAAAAACGCATCACGTTCCCGTTCAGTGCCCCGCTAGCCTCGGAGGTCGGGGGGCGGGGGTTTCAATTGACTAGTGCATTAGATGGCACGGGTGCATTTAAATTTGTGTTTTTATTAGCCTTTCTTTCGTAAAAAAGAAATCTAAAAATTGAAGCAAAACAAAGTTCAATACTCCGATTTCGAGTTCTGCTTTGCTGTGTGTTAGCCTCAAAACCAAGCAACATATTCTTTTGTTTCATTGATAGCCCGAGAAAACGMATGGAATTTGAAAAGAAAGACAATGGAATTGATTTGAAATCTCACACTTTTATTCTCACAATTAGGAATGTTTTGCGCACAAATGAGGCTAACACAGAGCATTGGAGAATTCGAAACTGGATTATTACAAAACTTGTACTTTGTCATTTTTAACTAATAAAAAACCCCGATGATATTAAAGCAATTTATTTGAATTTGAACAATGAAAACATTGTCATTTAAACAGAAAAATACCTTTTGCTGTCTAATGTGGGAAAAAGCCAGTATTTGAGCTGTTTTTTTCCTGTTGAAACTGTACTGAATATTTTCATCGAGCTGGACGGTGAGGACGTGAGGAAGGCAAGACTATTTTCGATGCAAAATCGTCTTAAAATGACAACTAGCAAGCTTGAAACTTCACAAATACAAAATCCTAGTTCAATTCTTCAATGAGAAAGCTTTTGGTATTTCTTATTGATATTTCTTATTGGTAGTTTTTGATAGTTTTGTTATCGGCGAAGTATCCGCCATTTTGGATTCTTGAGAAAATTTTCAGTTCGAGAGAGACTGCAAACTAATAGATATGGCTTCCTGTGGTTYGAGAGAGACTGSAAACTGCGACACGACWGATACATAGATAGAAAAGGTAGAACTATAGCTGGCTAGCCATAGCTAGCCCGCTAATAAATGTTTCAATCAATGTGAATGCAAGAGTGGAAGTCTCCTGCTCTTTTAAAGCCCTTGTAGGTGGAACCTGTGGGTTCGACCGTAGAGATAGAAACCAAAGTACAGTAGTAATTCCACTTGAAGCTTGCCAAAAAGATGTCTCGCAAGCGCATCTTCGAGTTTGGCGGAATTGACAATGAAGTTTTTGAGCTTCTTTTATGTCGCGCTGGTGTATTCAACCCTATTAAAGACATCCGAACCTGGACTTGGATGGAGCAGAGGGAGTAATAGAAGCTGTAGAGTCCAATCTTCTCTATCATACCACACACAATCCAGAGGCAGGCGTCCAAAAGCTAGCAGAGGTTTGACTAAAAAGTTATATCGCAACTAATTTTAAAGAAAACGGTTCAAGTCTAATTATGTCATTGTTGATACGAAATTCCGGAATATGCTCAACGTGCCGCAGTGGATTGACGCCAACTTGTCACGAAAACACAGTAGTAGTAATGGCCACTGAGTAGTACCGTGATGCAAGGAGAAAGTCTTGTCATACACAGTAGTAGTAGTAGTAATGGCCACTGAGAAGTACAGTGATGCAAGGAGAAAGTCTTGTCATACATATAAATGGAATGAAGATTGTAAGAAATACTTTCTTGTTCTATCCATGAAACTTTTCTAATATTCATTATTTATATCTAAGAAATATAAAATGGTGCGCTTCTCTGTCCTCTGATATAAACACGGTGGGAGTTGAAAAACACGAAAGAACCAAGGCTCGAAATTCGAGAGAAGGGAATGTTTCTCTTGCTTCTCGATTGCATTCTATTATCGTTATTATTAGGTATTCCGCTCTTGAGAAACACATAGACTGTGGTAAACATACCTATGCATTGGAGCATGAAACACTCTCTGATAAAGCGATGAAGTTATCACGCTCAGAAATTGGAAGAAGGGAGTAGCAAGATTCCAGAAAGGACAGAGAGTGATTATATGCTATCGCGTTCTCTCAAACAAGATGTTGTTATGGGCTGGGAGTTGAAATCCTCTTCCAAGAAAAAAAGATTTTCCGACGAACAAAAGAAATACCTGGGAGTATTTTTCGATATTGGAGAAGAGACTGGTCAGAAAGCAGACCATGCAGATGTTTCCAGAGCAATGAGAACAGCAAAGAGACCTGATGGAGCTCGTTTATTTAACAAGGACATTTTTTTCACGCCACAAAAAAAGCTAGTTTTTTTCAAGGCTGTCAAAAAAAAGAAAGAGGGACGTCGCTAACACTGATGATGCTGAGGAGAATGAAGACGATTGGGAAAGAAGGGAATTCGAGATGAGAAAGGGAGATGAAATCCTGGAAACTTCCTCGCAGTTGATTGACTCCATCGGGCTGAAGCATCCAGTAATGTTTGAACAGCATTATCGTAAAAGAAGAAACTTAGCAAGTTTTCAGTGAGTATGCTGCAAGAAATCTGCCTATCTATGGAAATTGATGTAACTAACATTAAGAAGAGACAAAAGAAGCCATACACAGACTTATTAGAGGAGCTTGTCCAATCAGCAACCAACCTGTTTAGGATAAAAGGGAATTCCTTCCAACGGTACCATCCAATTCTATTCCAACTTCATTAGATCTGGGTTTTTTATACATATTTTAAAAAAATGTGTTTTATTTAAGTTGTGTCCAGTTTTATCATTTCTGTAGAGATCGAAATCCACGTTTTAAAGTTTTAAAAAACAACTCATCAAGCTAATTAGATGCGTGATATGTAAATCGACTGATCTCGCCGACGTCTAGAATTCGTTGTTTTCATGTATCTTTCGGACCTCAGTACTTCACGTAAAATAATTTCTCCAAAATATATTTTCATGTTTTGAAACCTTCATTCATCCAAGATTGAACTGATTGTTTTTTCTTGAAAAAATAATTCGTCGAAACATAGCAAAAATTTTAATTTAACAAGGAGTACTTTTGAGCAGTCGTTTTATGCCGGTCAAGAATAAAATTCGTTACTAAATCAATTTGCGTTTAAAAGAGCTGAAACTTGTCAAGAATATATATGTGTATATATATAACTAGAATAAATGAAGAAAAAGCCACGCAACTTGTAACTTGGTTTTCTACTTTTTATTGAACGTTTCGGCACTTCGGCCTGATAAACTTGTGTGGAAAATTTGAAATCACTAGGTATTTTTGTCTTGATTTTGTGAGCTTTCAAAGTTGATGTAAATTCCTACCGAAAAATACACGAATTTCAGTCGTTGATAAACATTGTCGCTTTTCTCGAAAACTAGACCGTATTTCATCAAACTAACTACACAGCGTTTATTCTTACATTGAGGCTTATCAATGGGCAAAATATGAGCGAAATCTGTTTTTCGAGCTTTGTCGCGATTTTTGCGAAATGTCCGGTTTTTACAGGCAACCGCTCTTAAGTTCTTTCTCTATGGTCCTTCTCCATGTAAAGTAAAAACCACCCACTGATTTTATCAAAAAAATATATTTTCTCAAACTCTGGCTATTTAAAGCCTTACTGTGTTAATGCATTAATAATCTATGAGATTGGCTTAGAGCATCAAGCCGGTTTCCATCTAACTCATAAGAATAGGCCTGACCCAGGCATTTAACCAGATAAGCTCCGCTATTTCAACATGTCTGTGATCTCATCAACTGTAAAATTAAATTTCGTTTATCTTATTTGAAAATTGTGAACATCTTTAGGCTCAAATAAATTGTTATTGCTCTTGTACACCTTTATTCATTGCGCGTTTAACTTCCAAACACCTTCTTTTCCTTCGGTATACTGATATTCGATATCATTTACAGTTCATCGTGTGTTTCTCAGCCATCTTGGAACATTTTTAGCTCCTAGTTTACTATTTAACATTGCTTTGTTATTTTTCAAAATTTATGAGAAAAATCAGTGGGCGGTCTTTTCGTCTGTTATCTCCCCTAACTACTGGGCCTCTTTGCTTTCAATAACTTTGAAAGGGGAAGCAAAAACAAATTTTTCTTTTTTTCAAATCTTTCTACAGTTTGCTCGTGATATTTGCCGTGGTATTTTTAAAGCTTTAAAAGGCTTATAATTCAGATAGTCCATCAAATCAGAGCAATGACAAATCAAGATATCGGACTATCGGTAGACTTAAAGCCCAAGCTTCACGTCACAAAAGTCCGTGATCCTCGGCCTTCAGTGTGGCTCTCTTTCTTTAAATGTCTATTTGGAATAATCCTCTCGTTCATGGTTCTAACGAGTGTTATTGCCAGCAAGCTGTCGTTGATATCTATTGGTACTTTTTACAATAGCACTCGCAGTGGCTGCACTACTAACTTTGATGTTGATCACTCCAAAGAAACGACGTTTACAATGATGGTACTGATTCTAATGATTCCTCAGTTTATGTCATTAATACGAGCTTGTTGGAGAAGTTTGTGCAGCGAATTCCACCCTTGGCCAACTAACGTAGCAATACTGTGGGTAAGTATCGTTTCAATGATAAAAATAAAACAAAAACACTTCGAAAACATTTGATTGTCGTCATTTTTAATTTATTTGCATTTTCGATAGACCTAATAATCGGCTAACGGTAACGCATTGCTATAAACGTTTCCACACAATTCAAACCACGCTGGAGTAACTTTTATTGTTTGTTGTATTTTCATTTTACGGTTGAATTCTTAGAAACAAATAAAAGTTCTTTTTCTCACAGGATTTGAAATTGTTGATAAAGCAAGGCAAAATTCCCGAGAAAACTTCCCGCCATTTTTGTCGACGGCCCCCATTTGAAAGTTGCTCGATCAGCTCCTGAATCCAACTTTCAATCTTTATGTAAATCAGCTGGCAATGGCTCAGTTCTTGTTTTAGTTTTCTTTGTCTTAGTTGTTAATTGTTAAATGATGAGTTTTAAAATCAGAACGGAGGTCATAAGACATATACATCCCGAGGGCTGTATTCCTTACTCAGTAATTCCTAAGTTAAATTTCGTAAGAATTAACTTTCAGGAAAATATGAGATATACAGCCCTATGAATCAACAATGAAAACTGATTCGTTGAGATAACAATATGATATCAAAGTAAAAATTCCTGATTTCTGTCTTCACAGGCTGTATTTTCTGCTCTGCTTGAGGTGTTTGGACTGTCATTCTTCACTGTTGTTGTGGTCCTTAAAACAACTTTGTCAGCAGCCCATTGCGTGGTGATAATGAACTGCCTTTTCCTATTTCCGATAATCTTCCGATTCTCGAAGATAAAACAACTTAAAAAAGATAAAGAACCCTGGTTAAAGCCATTTCTGCTTCTAATTTTATCACTTTTACTTGAGATCGCTGGGATTGGTTTGCTTTCATTTGATGTAAGTCTAGCAAAGAAATGGCGGCATACTTTAGAGCCAATAAACCAATGATAATAATAAAATGATGGAAACTCTCCGCAATGAACATACACTTAATTGTGTGATGGCCATAATGGCCGCCATATTTTTAGTAATTTAATAATTTTGGCTCCTTTTAATATGTGAATCACTTTTTTGCTAATTTTGTTTTTTTACTTTTAATTTTGATACTTTTTTCAACTTTTTCTGATTTTGTTCTCACCTTCTATGTTCAATCATGGAACACGCCAACGATTCACTTGTTCAAATGTTGAAATGAGTGTGTTTCGATTTAGGAGAGCTTATCCAGTAACCAAAACAATAGGTTTCATTACACTTTTTTTTCTTGATTACAGGTCATTATGAATAAAAAGAACGTCAATCTTCAGGAAGCTGTTGGTATTCCTATTTCTCTTCTTCTCGTGTCTTTGGCTTGGAGTAAACAACTCCAGACACGTCAGGTTGAGCCAAGAAAAAATGAAAATTCTGCTCCTTCAAATAATCGCAATGGCTCATTAGTGAGTAAAAATTGAATTATAAAAATATAACGCTATAATAAAAAGATCGATTCGCAATTTTCCTGCTCAGTATTTTTAAAAAAATCCCAAAAAAAGGCAAATCCCAATTCCAAATATACCCTCTCCTAATACTTGTCAATGTTTTCAATGATATATCTGGTAACAAAACTATATTACATCCATCTGATGAAGTTGTCTTTGTTTCACCAGGCACAGCATGAAATCAAATTATACCTATTGCATTTTGTTTTTAGGATGAAGACGAAATATTCCCCAAAGCAACAGCACGAGACAAATCTACAATCATTTCTTCCATTGTCAAACTGGTTGCGACACCTTTCGTTTCTGCATTGTTTTGTTATGTATTTGATGTTGCAGACTTAGCAAATCTGAACAATGGCTTCCTTCGCTTTGATGTAGCTCATACAGCTTTTCCTCATTTTATGGCACAGATTTTAACAAGTATCGTAGGAAGCGTTTTAGGTAAAAAGGCACACGGGTTATGTTTAGATATTTCTTTGGCCTGTTGATATGAAAATTCTTCCCCCTACTGTATTTGCCACTTATTCGTCTGTATATTCAGGTTTTTCTCGGTCAGAGAAAAGTCAGCTAATTTTGATATTTTTTAAGGTCTGGGAATTGTCATGAAAGCTCCTATTCAGTCATAGAGAAATTTCCAAACTTACGTGAAATTCGGAGACAATTAAAAGAAATTTGTTTTTCTTCAAGAATCAATAGGCTATGAGCACCATATATGATACAGACTATTGACGTCAATAGGACTGACGTGAGGGGTACAATTTTGTTATAGAAAAATTTGTTTTGAACAGAGAATTTGACTTTTTCATGAGTGGGGGTCATCTTCTGGTATTCATTAATCCTGGTCTGTTATAATTTACTTCTCTTCTTTTGCACCTTTTCTAACTTCACACCAGCCACTGATCCTTTCTACTTTCAGGTTGGCTTGCCTGTGCAATGTGCATGCAGAGACTTGCCTTTTTCTTGCCAATGCTTCTCGCCACACCACTTTCTCTTATTTTGATCTCCATTCCTGAATTGTGCTGCACCAGTGCCATACCCCTGAAGTGTTTAGACACTCATGACAATCACATATTCCCAATGGCTTTTTGCTTGTGGCTCGCACAAGTCTTGTCTACGGGAATGTACTTATGGAAAGGGCAAACTTTTATCATGGCTAAGGAGTCCTCTCTGTTCTGGCTACCGGTCTACAATAGTAAGTCACAATATTCTTGATTTTGCACTTTTGAATCAGATAATATTATGAAGCCAAATAGCCAAAGCCAAAGGTTATTTAAGTAATTTCCGACTGTTAACCTGAGATGAGAAAGCTGTAAATTTTCAGGTAGGAGGGTTTGTTTTGAAATTAAGCTAAAGACAGTAATGGTGATATTTCTTTGACGGCTTTTCTTGTTTGTGGCTTTTCATGACTTAACTTTGTAAACTGAAAATTCGACATGATTTCGTTTTCACCTTTTGTAACAATCCACATGCTTGTTTATCTTAGTTTGCTTTTCTTTCGAAGAACAATCATTCCCAACTCCTTTACGCAATGTAGAGCTCAGAATATTATCACTTGTTCTCACTTGTTCCTGTTTGAGGGGATCAAGGGTGCCATTCCGAAACTCAGACTTTACTAATGACTTTAGACTTAATGTAGTTACCACCGATGTTTTATTTTTAGTTTATTGTTTGATTTTTAAGCTTTATAGATTTATTAGTTGTTGATTATATATATACATATGAGCGATGTCATTGTAAAAGGTACTTAAGCTGCTAAGGTCCCTTTTGCCCTCGAGTCTCTACGCTAGGGACCACTGGTCGCGGGCGTGTTCTTTAGGGCCTTTTTGCTTTGACAACACTCATGTAGTCTTGCTACTATATATCGCACAAGCGCTCTGACGTCTTGCTACTGATATGCCGTAAACCTAACCCTAGCTATACCTCTTTGCGAGTGACGGGACGACTCAGACGCGCGCCGATCTGCCATCTGTCCTTTCAAATTAGCACAACCAAGCCGGCAGTGATCTCGTAGAGAAAACCTGATCATGACGTCAGCCGTGACGGTGGCTATTAACTTGGAGTCCAGGACTCTGCAATAGAGAGTAAATCAAATCGTCAGTGCGGCGGGTAAAACGCGCATTTTCTACGTAGATTGGCTTCCAAAATACTGCGCTGCACGGATGTCGTTTCGTTGTCTTTTGTTGTTCCTGTTGTTTTTTTTTATGCTAGCCTACACGAGCGATGTCATTGTAAAAGGTACTTTTAAAAGCTGCTACGGTCCCTTCTGCCCTCGAGTCTCTACGCTAGGGACCACTGGTCGCGGGCGTGCTCTTTAGGGCCTTTTTGCTTTGACAACACTCATATGTATATTTTTTTCTTTTGAATTTGTATTATTAGTGTATATATTTATTTTTAATACTATTGTAACCATTTATTATACTCTTTTATTGTAAATATTATTAATCTTCTACCTTGAGAAATAAAGATATTTACTACTATAACCTTTTTTTATTATTATAATTATAATTATAATTATTATTATTTATATTATTATTATATTATTATTATTATTATTTATATTATATTATTTATTATATTTCATCTAGACAACAGTCTCATTAATAACTAAGATAAAAATAATACTGCAGAATATTATTAAGTGAATGATATCATTCTCCTTTAGATGCGTTCCTTGAGCAAAGTCTGTTATTAAATCGCAAAAATCAAGCAACAGACGATTCAAAAATTATTCGAGCGGATGTTGTCAAGAAATCGCGTGTGTACATATGTACAACAATGTACCACGAAAACAAAACTGAGATGGAACAACTGCTGCGCTCTCTTCACGACATCGACACGGCAAGGCTTAAATCAGAACGAAATTTTGAGTCGCATATATTCTTTGATGGAGCTGTAAAAGGGAATGTGCTGAATGACTTCGTATTGCAACTCATTGCTCTTGTTCCCAAAACACTTGGTGTGGAAAAGATAGAAGACTGTAAGAAGATAAAGACACCTTATGGAATGCAACTGAAATGGGAACTCCCTGGCGGAATGCCATTCTATATCCATTTGAAGGACAATTTTAAGGTATAGTGAAGGGAATGCGCACCAGAGGCATTATGGGATCGGACATAGACCGCTGACTTGCGTTTTATTTACGTTTATTGTTATTGTTAACTGTAAATTCGTTTTTTTGGAGTGGAAGTAAATGAACAAAACATTGTTATATGAAGTCGAGGTTTTTGAAAAATTTATATAACTGAGACGTTTACACAAACAATCGATTACAGCTCTGTCAGTAAGATGATTATCATTGGTTGCACGCGATTACATGTCTGGTATCAACCGTGTTTTATTAATAGGCAAGTTGAATGTTACATCATCCGATCTTCTTCTGGTCTTCAGATGAATTGGTATATTTTAACTGGAAGTTGTTTAGCAGATCATTACCGTTCCCAGCCTAACTGAAATATAAATGTTCTATGTTAGATTTTTATCGTAGCAATTTGTTTTATTAGTATTTACGAGCCGCGTTTGTTAAATTTTAGAAACAAGATAATACTTGAACAGCGGCGTCCGAACGGAGGATCGCGGGTTCAAACCTCGTCTCGAGCACTTTTTCTTGCTTTCTTTCTTTCTTACTAAGTATTTTTATTTGATTTTCTGTAGATTTTGTTTAATAAATATTTTCGAGCCATTATTTTGATTTTACACAGAATATTATACTCGAATCCCCCCGGAACTCGAATAGCGTCGAACTTGGGATCGCGTCCTTGATTCTTGACACATTTTTTCTTTCTTTCTTTCTTTTTGACTGAAATGAAGTTGTTATAGTCATGTTGATTTTTTTGTAGATATTCGCTTACTATTATTTTCGAGCCTGATTTTCACACTGTCGTACTCGAATAGCGTGGAACTTAGGATCGCTGGTTCGATTCTCGACTCGATCGCTTCTAAGCGAATCTTTCTTTCCTTCTTTCTTTTTTTTACTTAAATATACTTATTCGTATTTTTTCCTATAGATATTTGCTTAACATATTTTACACGCAAGATCATACTTGAATAGCGGCATTGAACTGACGATCTCTGGTTCGATTCTCGACTGACTCGAGCAGCTTCTAAACCTGAATTTTTGTTCTTTCTTTGACTTTAAAATCTGAAGTGCTAAATTTTCGCTGCAATGATAAAAATATTCAAAAAAAATGTTGTGAAAAGATCAGACGCAAAAAGCTATCAAATCGATCGCAGCTTTGTTCCACAAAGTGGTTCTTGTTTAGAATTATATGCAATTTTTTCAGGTCAAAAACAAGAAGCGTTGGAGTCAAGCCATGTACATGTCATACGTCTTGGACTACAAGAAAGCTAGCATGGAAAGCGATCCACACAACGAAGCAGTCGCGGGAAGCGAACACAAGGAAGTCCAGATAGGCGATGACAACATAACCTATATCCTAGCAACTGATGCCGATGTCCGTTTTACCCATGAATCAGTGGAGGCCCTGTTAGATTTGATGATGAGAGATCAAAAAGTGGGCGCTGTCTGCGGGCGTACACATCCTTTGGGATCTGGGCCTGTTGTATGGTATCAAGTATTCGACTACGCTATTGGTCACTGGTTTCAAAAGGTATACTTATACTTACGATTTGCACTCATATTTTACTTTCCTATCATTGTAACACAAAGGGCTTGTTGATTTAGAACTGTTTCTTTTTCTCGTCGTATTAACTATGACGTATACATTATTGATCAGGTCGCCAATCACGTCCTTGGATCAGTCCTCTGTTCACCTGGCTGTTTCAGTGTCTATCGTGCACGAGCCATAAGAGATGTTCTTCCAATCTATGCTTCACCTGTTGAGACATCCATTGACTTTCTCACAAAAGATATGGGTAATTTATTTGTTTCAGTAAAGATAAAACAGCATCAATCACTCTCAACATTGATACACCCATCACCATTTGAGTGATAGATATTGAAGGATTGACTTAGAAATTTAACCCTATTCAGACTTGCCTATTTTTTGCAATCTGTGACTGCTCATTTGGCCCCCCTCAATATCTTCGGAACCAATAAGTCTATCAGCATGAAATTTTCACAAAATGGACGCCCACACCGAACCACCACACCCAGTTTTGACCCGTTGAAACCAAATGTGACGTCATAATGACGTCATTTACACTATTTTAACGATTTATAATTCATTTTAATAAATTGCCTACAATTCCTAGGGAATGCTGCAATATCATCTGTTTATTATTGAAATGACTTGAAAATAATATTTTTGTATTTTTTAATTGACCCCTGTTCTATATGACGTCACAATGACGACATAGATATCAGGTAATTTTTATAAATTGTATATCTATATCTAGATAACCAGTTAAATATCATATCTAGGCGTTTACTGTTCTCCTGCGATGTTGTGGTTCGTTTTGCATCCATGGTAACAGATGTGACGTCATAATTGTGATGGCGTCATTTCCTATAGTGTCTTTGTCTTGTGTCTTGTTGACTCCAAATCTTACTTTTTTTGTCTACATCGGTAATTTATGGTAAATTTGAGGAGTTTTTGAAGTAAAACAATTTAAAACAAGCAATTTAAAACAAGAATATCCGCCATCTTAGGATCCGCCATCTTGGACCGCCATCTTGAATTTTCTAAAATGCTATTAAAAACCTAAGTATTGAGGCAAACAGCTCAAAATGTCTGAAATACTTCTCAAACTAACATTTAATGAATAAAAAAGTGAGTTTCGAAGTCCTACTGATGATTTTAATAAAATCCTATCTATCTCGATTCTTCATTTAGGGGAAGACCGCTGGATGTGTACATTAATGGTTCAGTCAGGTTGGCGTCTTGAGTACTGTGCTGCCGCAGAAGACAGCACTTTCTGTCCAGACACTTTTGATGAGTTCTTCAATCAAAGACGTCGATGGATCCCATCAACCCTTGTGAATCTCATCCAGTTGATTAGAGAATGGAAATTCACTGTCGAAAACAACGACAAGATCTCGATTTTCTTCATTCTTTACCAAGCACTCTTAGTTGTATCTACTCTTATATCGTTAGTACGATTGATAATATGACACCAGATTTTTCAACATTCACTCACCGCAATAGACGATTTCGTTTCTTAATCTCTGTATGTGGTTTTGCCAAAGAGATATTCTCAATGGGACAGAGTAGCCTCTTGAATTCAGTTTTTCAGTTCATTTTGTGCGGAATTAATTCGATCAATAATAATAATCGTTTTGAGGAATATGAGTAGACATCTATCTTAAGTCTTTTCTCTCTCTCATCAGGCCTGCAACCGTTATCCTTGTCATCACTGGGGCACTTAAATACTCCAAGTTACCAGGAACAGATAATGATGTAGCTATTCTCATACTTCTTTGTGTTGTAACGTTTGGTTTTGCCTTAATCTGTCTTTACACCAAGCAGTCATTTCAACTCAAGGTGGCAAAGGTTCTCACTATTATGTTCGCATTGCTAATGACTGCTGTTACTGTTGGTATGGCCGCACAGATTGCTATCGATCTTTCCAAAAGATCTCAATGTGATGCGAAAAGTAAGCTACTTGTTAAAATCAACTAAATGTGGCTGTTTCTTAAAGTGCACCTTCAGTATTTTTTTATGTATAGTTTACAACATGAGCGGCCGTGTTGTATGGGAATGGTAATTCCCATACAATACGCGGACGCGAATGTTGTAAACGACTTATAAAACTCCAACACAAATTAACATGAATTACAGTGAGATAAATGACGAAAAATGACAAATAAGGTAACTGCTGAGTTTAGTCCCTATTAAGCATGCGCAATTTACTGCAACAYAGAACATTTTGAATAATTATCCATCCCACATGGAAAGCAAGCCATCTGTTGCATAAGSGAGTTCTGTTATCCGTCTTTGATTGCCTCAAAACCTAGTGAAGGTCTATGATGCGACACTAAAACTGAGACCTTTGCTAGTGTTGGGTTGTCTCAATGGTGACGACCGTGTTGTAAATCTGATACAACATTAGTGGTTGTATCAGATTTACAAGGTCAATCACCTGATTAAATGGTCAGCCCTTATTGGAGCAATAGCTTATGCATTATTAATAAGTTTTATAATATCTAAAACAATTCTTACGAACCTTAAAATAATTTCTGTGGTAGTTTGGTGATTATTTTGTAAACGGTTGGGACGGAATCGAAAAAATAAAACCAAAATTAAGTGTGTCAAATTATTTTGTCCGAGCGGGGACTGGCGCGACCTTATGACGTCATCCCAGGCCAAAAGTTCGATCGCAAAAGACCAAATGCCTTATACAAGTCTTATTTTTTTCACAAAAATCAATAAAACCGCTAAGATTGAATGTATCAGATCGTTTTATATTTATTGAGAATTTTCAAGCGCTTGCCGTGAACTCAGTAGATTTGAATTTCAGCAAATTCTTTGTCCTCGGCACAGAATACGAAATAGTCATTTGAGGCACTCTATAATATTGAGCTCACGGCAGGTGCTTGACATTTCTCAATAAATATATAGCGGTATGATTCATTCGTTCTTAGTGGCTTTATTTATTTTTCGGTGAGAAAAAATAAGGCTGGCCGATATGTACTCTTTTGAGGGCTTTTGATACCAACACCGTCTCGCGTTAGACGAGGGTAACTCGGCTTTTCCAATCCAGAAAGGCCCGAAAATCGTTTTTCAAATGATTCCACTTTCATGTGGGCCGATGATATCGTCCAATGTTTGGTTTGTTCCCATTTGGCACGCTTGACTTTGACAAAGTCGAGCCACTTCTTCCGTCTCTTTCTTGCTTCGGGTCGTCGAAAAAAGGTACAACTTGATATAATTTGTAGGTCGATTCCCTTCAAAATATCTGACGTGTTACTGCAGCTACCAACAACACACTTTTTGGGCTTTAAATTTGCGAAAAAGTATATAAATCGAGGTTAAAATAAGCTTTTTGGAGTTGACTCACGATAAAATTCACTTTGAAGCTTCGATAACAACAAATCCTTGGCTTGGGATGACATCAGAGTAAGTCCCAGTCTTTCCCGGTATTGAGACCAAATAAAGAGCTCAAAGTGGACATTTTCCTATGTTTGTAAGCTCACCAAAAATTCGCTTTTTTATAACAACCACAGATATGCTTCCATTAACCTCAATTTTCATTTTAAAGATTAAAAAAATCCTGAAGGTGCACTTTAAAATAATGAAACAGATAATATGGCTTAAAATATCAGTTGTGTAAAAAGATAAATTAAACACCGTAAAAAAGTAGGTGAAGTAACTTACTGACGTTTCGACTAGTAAAGAACGAAAGTTACGATCACGTTTATTAGAGAAGAGGGGTCGGTCGTTAAAGATGTGAGAAGTGTTAGTTTCAGAAGTGAGTAAAATGCAATTACGATTAATAATGTTAATATGCTTAACAGAACTGTTAATAGGATGATACGTAAGGGTGAAAGGGATACGGTTATTAGGCCCACGAACACTAGGGCTATGAGCAGTATTACGATCAATGCGAGAGACTTTACGCAGAGCTTGATCAATGACATGTGGAGGATAGTTACGATTAAGAAAAAAGGAACGCATCTCAATGCAATCACACAAGCGATTGAGACGTAGAAATTGAGAGAAGGAATAGCATTCAGAGTATGCATTCAGCGGTTGAGAAGAAGAATAGAGGAGATAAGAGTGAGAATCAGTAGGCTTATAATGCACAGTAGTGCTGAGATGAATGTCAGCAATACTGACTTGAATGTCAAGAAAAGTGACTGACGTATCACTGATTTCAGAAGTGAATTCTAAGGCAGGATGAAAAGAATTGACGTAAGAAATGAAAGAGTCTAAATAGTCACGAGAACAAGAGGTAGCACCAATACAATCGTCTATATAGCGGCCAAAAAACTCAGTTTTTTTCATTATGTGTAAGAGTTTAAACACAAATTATCAAATTACAACCAAGATAGTTCAATTCTAGCTCTTGGTACAATGCCATTATTCCATTCAGTCTTGTTGTTAATGGCCTTCTTTCCCTCTCTTCTGATTCTCACTGCTTCCGTTATCTGCCTCTCAGCATATAGGGTCTAGATGAAATTGACCCGTAACATTCATTTTAAAATCTTGTAAAACGTTCTCGTGTTTCTCGCGATAGTGCCTTACCGACAGTGCCTGGTCCAGTTCTTTAACATGTTCTTTTCCTCTCATGAACGCACTACGCGATGTTTCACCGATATATTTGTCCCCACATGACTTACATTCAATTTAATACGTTACATTTTGCACATCACACCGTCCATTACCTCCTGTTTGGCACACCAGACAATCCTCGTTACTGCACTCGTTCGTCTCCAAAACGGATTTGATCGCTGAAGAATTTTCTTTACACTGCTTTCGGCTTTTTCAACTACTTTTATCTCTACCTCAGCATTCCTCACATCTTCATCAAGAATCTTCTTCAGCTCCGAGTTTGGTGTTGCAGGCATGAAGGCTGAAATACTTTCCTCTTTTATACCAATTTGTTTTCTTCTCTTTCTTTACCCTACTCCGTTCGTTCTTCTACCAGTCTTTTGGTCTGTAAAGCGGTCGTTTTCCTTACTGGTCTAGTTCCAGAATCTTACCACCTCATATCGGAACTCTTTCGTATATCCTGTGAATTGCATCCTTGCAACCATATGGTTAACATGTGTCAGTACTTGTTCCCACGGCAGTTGGGTGCTACAGTTAAGTAGCACTCTAAGTATTTCTTATTTCGTGACAGTACGTTTTACATGCAATGGCATGGCTGATCGGGTGTGAATCACTAACTTTGATGAAATTTCTTTAGCATAGAATTCATGCAAGATCACATTTGCATTGTTTCTCTTATCAACCCATACCTTTACATCCAATATAGGTATCTTTTTGTCTGTATGTTTTGAGGGATGATCCACTTCTACTTTGATTGAAGGATGTGTTCCGTCAGCAATAGTTTTAACACTCAACATGCATCTTTCATCAAGTTCTTCCACTCGTATGTCAACTTTTTTCATTACTTCACCTTCACCAGGTAGAGCCAAAACGATGTTGTCATCTACATACCGTTTATAAATATGTATCCTCCAACCCATGGAACTTGACATACGCTTGAATTCCCTATCCCACCAGACCATAAATACTTGAGCAAGCACCCCAGTCAGCTCCAAGCCTATAGGTCCTCCTTTCAGGTCCGGTGTTTCTCTTTTTTAAAATTCTTTTGTTATAAACTGTTTTTTGATATAGTAATTTGTATGAACTGCTCATACTAGCAGCCAGTTCTTACACACTATACAGTAAGCTACTATCAGCATCATAACTCTTCGCGCCAGTAGGCGCATAAGGCCTTCACCCCCTCTTTCCATCCATCTCTATCTCTTGCTGCCATTTTGGCTTCGTTCCAAGTCTTCCATCCTGCGTTGTCCCTTTCTTTCAGTATCGTTCTTCTCCAAGTAGTCTTTGGTCTTCCCCTTGCTCTTCTTCCTTCATTCTAGAGCTATCAAACAGTCACTTTCACTTTCCCTTCTGAGGATAACCAGCCTGCTCTTTCATTTAACCTCTTGTCAACGCATATCTTTATGCGAGCCATTAACATTCTACAAAAGACTTTGCTTATAATAGGTAGTAACGTCACTCCTCTCCAGTTGTTACAATCACAAAGGTTCCCTTTTTTGAATATTTTAACTATCAGACCTTTTGTCCACATTTTTGGCCATTGTTCTGTAGTAACAACTTCGTCTACCGACCATTCCCCAATATTTATCTCTTCAATCTCCTGATCATGATGTAGTTCTTCTGTTGTCACTGGGTTCAAAGGTTGTTCTCTATTTAGGACTTCACTAAAGTGTTCTACCCATCTTTTCAATTTTTCTTCCTTCCCTGTCTTCATCACCCCATGCTTGTCTTTTACCCCAACTTCTTGCTTTTTCTTGTGCCCAACTATTGTTTTGGTTATACTATACATTTCTCTACTCCTGCCGTTTTCAGTTGCCTTTTCAGCCATATCAGCTTTCGCTTCTATCCATCTTCTCTTATCCTCCCTTGCGCTGGTTTTCACCTCCATGCTTTTTGCCTTGTACGCTGCTTCTCGTCTTTGTTTTAATCGCATTGATTTTGTGCTTTCCAGTTTCTGATTTTCCTCTTTTCTTTCTTTGATCTTTTGCCATGTTATGTCACTAATCCATTGTTTACTCTGTTTCTTCTCTTTCCCTAGTATTTTCTTGCCTGCTTCTCTGTAAACATCCAGAAATATATTGTGCTCTTCGTCTATATCTTCATCATCATCAGTACCTCTTAAAGCTTGGTATCTTCTTTCTACCTCATTATTAAATTCTTTCTTGATGTCGTCATTTCGTAATTTGTTTATGTCGAACCTCGCTCTTCTGCTTAGTAATTTCTCTACTCTTAACAACTTTAACTTTAATATTTCTCTGTACGTAGGAGTCATATTCTAAACACTGCTTCGTCTACGTTTGTATATGTTTTATTTTCCGAGCTTTCGGATCGTTCGATCCTTCATCAGGGACAAGTGATACAAATGAATTAACTAGCGGTTGAAAAAACTAAACACATCACGAAAATACTAAATATAATACAGCGCGCTACAGATGCGCGCGCACACAAGCTAAGGAAATTGATTTTGAGTTAAAATGGGACGATATACGTCTGGTAACAGGCGTCCACAGTCTCTCTTAAACAAAACATTATTGTTCTTAGATATGAACCATGCCTCCGTCCATCTACGCTTATTCCTTCGACTTTCTGTTGCTAAGATCTTTATGTCATCCCAGGCAATGTCATGGTCGTTGCTGTTTGCATTGTCAGATAAGGCGGAAGACTCCGTCTTTCCTAATCTGACGCAAGCTTCATGTTGTTTGGTTCGTGTCTTTAATGCCATCCCTGTCTCTCCTATGTAAGAAACAGCACAGTCCTTACAGGGGATATTGTATACAACGCCAGTTCTTTTGCTTATGGGTATCGTATCTTTAGGCTTCGATAGTATTTGCCTGAGTATTTAACTTTATTTTAGATCGAACGAGATAGTGGTCACTATATACGTCTCCTCCTCTCATAATTCTTGTATCCATTATAGATGTTTTCATGCTGCTATTTACAAGTATATGGTCGATTTGATTTACACTTTTCCCATCTGGAGGCTTCCATGTCAATTTGTGTATCTCGTTATGAGGAAAAAGTGTTCCACTAATTACCAATCCATTCAAACTGCAAAGGTCTCATAGCCTGTCACCATTATCATTCATATCACCAGCTCCATGCTTTCCCATCACTTCCTCTCTGTTGGTATTATTGCTTCCTACTTTAACATTGAAATATCCCATCACAATTATCATGTCGTTCCTATTGCAGTCTTTTAAGGTGTCTTGTATCTGGTAATAGAACTCATTGTTTTCATTGTCTATTGCTTCATTTGTTGGTGCATATGCCCGTATAATTGTTAATTTCTTGAGTGTCTTGAGTAAAATCGTGCCTTGATGATCCTTTCACTAATTGGTGTTCATTCTAACATCGTTCTTCTAGCCGTAGCAGATACCATTATCGCCACGCCGCCTTGATGTACATCATTGTTAGTAGTATACAAAATAGCGGTTCAACGCCAGGCGGATCATGGTGGATTGCGGATCGGACAAATTAACCCTAATTAGATGCGACAAAACAATGGAACAAGGTGAACGGCGGATCAAGATCCGCCGTAGAGTGATGTTGTATGTTGCTAGGGTGACTGCATGCAAATGAGGCAAAATTGATAGGGGAGGGGTGGTCAAAACGAGTAGGTGGCAATTCATTATCATAAAATTGTGGGCGACTTTTGTGTTGGTAAATTGTGGGCGATCTAATTATGCTGTGTTGGTAAATCAAGGAGGGTAATTATCATAAATTRTGRRAWTCATATACCATGAAATTACTATTGTTCCTGAACAAATGGCTGCCTGGACCTGCCTGAATAAAACACAACATAAGTTATTCAAAGTCACGTGGTTTCTTTTCATGTTTTGTGTTTTGAAAGCAATATTTAACGACATCGACCCTACATCGACCCTACATCGACCCTACATCGACCTGACATCGACCCTACATCGACCCTACATCGACCTGACATCGACCTGACATCGACCTGACATCGACCCTACATCGACATGACATCGACATGACATCGACATGACATCGTGAATAACTGAATAAATGACTGACTGACTGCAATAACTGAATGACTGACTGAATGACTGACTTACTGAATAACTATGCCATTTCCGGTCAGCTTTGGGCCATCCGGACAGCTTCGAGCCATCCGGACAGCTTAGGGTCTTTCCGGGTCTTTCCGGGCCTTTCCGGGCCTTTCCGGGCCTTTCCGGGCCTTTCCGGGCCTCTCGGAAGCTTTTTCAAGTAATAAATGCCACAGTAGTAAAAGTGAGATCTAGTTATGATTAGTTAGAAATGTAAAAATATTGAAAATCATAATTTTTGGATATTGAAAACTCCTTTAGCAGGTGACCTATTGTCTCAGAACAAAGGTAATCATTAACCTTTTCTTCACTGGATAGTAATTTATGCGATCGTTGAACCTTGACATAAAATTTTACCAACATTGCATATTTAGATTGCCGACAAATAAGTCGATGTTGACATGAGAAAGAAACTCCATAAATGATGAGGCAAGCGCTTTCACGCTCAAGAAACCACGTGACTTTGAATAACTTATGTTGTGTTTTATTCAGGCAGGTCCAGGCAGCCATTTGTTCAGGAACAATAGTAATTTCATGGTATATGATTCCCACAATTTATGATAATTACCCTCCTTGATTTACCAACACAGCATAATTAGATCGCCCACAATTTACCAACACAAAAGTCGCCCACAATTTTATGATAATGAATTGCCACCTACTCGTTTTGACCACCCCTCCCCTATCAATTTTGCCTCATTTGCATGCAGTCACCCTAGCAACATACAACATCACTCTACGGCGGATCTTGATCCGCCGTTCACCTTGTTCCATTGTTTTGTCGCATCTAATTAGGGTTAATTTGTCCGATCCGCAATCCGCCATGATCCGCCTGGCGTTGAACCGCTATTTTGTATACTACTATTGTTGCCTGAGTACATTACTGTTTCACCACTTTGCAACTTTAGTTCTCCAATACCTTTCCATCTAGTCTCACTTATTGCTAGTATTTCAATTCCATATCCTCTCATTTCATTATGTACTTTGATATTTCTATCATTGTTCGTACATTCCAGCATCCAATCATTATATGGTTTTTGGGTGTTACTATTGAGCCCAAGGTTCCTTTCGGCTTTGCCCCATTGACGTCATGCTATTAGCTTCAAAAGCAGCACTCCTAGTTACGGTTTGGTAAGCTTGGGTGCAGGTTTCAGTAACATAAGAATTTTTACAAGGCAGGGCTGCTAACCCTACGCTCAACCCCGAACCTGGAGGACCAGAGGATCACACTTAGTCAGGTCCCTACCCTTCGACCTGTTCGGCATGTGTGGCCCTACCAGGAGTTCAAGACTCCAGCCGACATAGCTCTCCGGGTCATTGGGGCACGCAAACAACTCCACCACGATAAGATGGTGATCCCTTTTTTGAGTAAGCTACTATACAGTGTGCAAATCTTAAGTTCAACATTCAATTTAGGTCCGCATTAAGAAAAAAACGAGCCACCCCCATTTGTAAGGCAACCTACGGGCCTGGTATTAGGGCATTGTTGCTCCTAGAAATGGGCTCCTGTCGATTTGAAATAGTTCCAAGTCCACTTAATTCAAGTTCTTATGTCATAGCAATAGCACCGAATGCATTGGGCACCGAATGCACAGATGGTTTTCCTGCTGACCTTAGTTCGCTCTATCTTGCTGGCCTTGTTGGTATTTATTTTGCTGCAGCACTAGTGCATCCAAGCGAAGCTTTTTGTCTAGTTCATGGCATTTGGTATCTTTTCTGTCTTCCCTCTGGATACCTGCTGCTTATTGTATACTCATTAGCAAATATCACTGACAGATCATGGGGTACGTACCTAAATTCTTAGCAATGTAATAAATGTACTATTTTACAGCCGAATGGCTCCTCACCAAAAAGTTGGAGCGAAAATACTAGTTCCAGTATCTTGTTAATTAGAAAGTATGACCTGTTCCGTCTAGACTCATGCTCTTGAAATACGTATTCCTATAGGAACTCGTGAAGCCAAAAATACGTTTGTGGATGATAAAAATTGGTACAAGGTATTCTGGAAAGAACTCAGACATCTTTGCTTTTGTTGCCAACCCGAACAAAAGCCAGCCCCATCTCGAACTGAAGAATTCATTGTGGAACAGCCAGGCGAGGTTTGTAGTGTCTACGGGGAATATAATATATCGTTTTTACTTCAGGTTTATACTTTAAAGGCCCAAAGAAGTTTGTCGCTGTGCCAGCAGTGACCTTGATCTCTTTTTAACTTGACAAATATTTTCAGTGCAGACCTAGAGATGGCTTAATTTCTGATAGCCATGGTCCCTCTACTTCTGTTAGTGAAACTGCTGAAGATCACCAAGTGCTTTCCTCCCACAACTCTGATTCTGAATCACAAATGCCTATTGAAAAGTGGTTAGCAGATTTTAAGGTGTGCTATTTCTCAATTTCTGCCTACCACATTTTTCTTTTCTGTTACTTACTTTTTCTCATGAGTTTCGTTACTGTTTTTGCTACTATCAAAACTAATTGCTATTGTTTTTATGATGATACAGTTGTTACTAGGAATTTTTTCCTCCTCGTTTTCTTTGTTGTTGTCGTTGTTGCTGTCGCCTTGTTGTGTGCATAGTAAGTTGTATTTTTTTATAATAGGATTCGTACAAGAACAACTTTATCGATAATGGATATGACGACGTCAGCTTCCTTATTGGCATGACTGATGATGTAAGAAGATTATAGAATAATATTACATCAGTACATGGTTATATGGATTTATTTATATAGTATTTGGTATATTATACTCACTTGTACTGGTCACTAAGAACACGCACAGATGACGCCATTCAATATTACGTCGATATATTTGAATGAATTAGAGATCAGAATTTCTTCAAATGACACTAAAAAATATCAAGAAAAATCAAATCTCTTGCATGGTTTCAAAGCGCTCACTTATCATTATGTTTTTGACATTATATTTTCAACAAAGTCATTGGAATTTATTCTTGAAAAAGTGTAAAAACTCGAGAACCTTTGCGCGATTTTATCACATACAAAAAATCGCCATCGTCAATTTTGAACCAATCAGAAAGCAAGTTTTAACAACAGATCCTTTTAGTTTGACTTGCTATATCGCGATTGGACCACAGAGTAAATCCATAGGCCTTAACAAAGTCCCTGACAACCCTGCCGTGCTATCTTTTCTACAAGATTTTCACTGTATTCACCGTGTATCTCCCAAACCTTCTTTCCTGAGATTCAGTGTTGGAGTTGTTTTCAAATACATCTAAGCTGTGTTCTTTCAGGAAACTTTGGGAGGATGTTTCGATACAGGCAGAAATTTGTGTCTGATGCCTGTAGTTGTATGAAGTTGATGTTGTTGCTCATTTTAGTCCACTGAGTTTTGTTTTTCCTGCATTCTATTACCAGGATCTTCGCTCCATTGGTATCGAAAGATCAGGTGATCGATCACAAATCCTTGATGAGATTAAGAATATTCCTTTCCCTCCTGTTGATACAGATGTACCTGTAAGTATTTATACTTATTTTATTTTGTTATGCAGGAATGAGGAGGTGAAAAGGTTCTTAGAAACTAGAATTGTGAAATTGACATTATACAAATTGTGCTCTTAATTATTTGTAGGAAAATCTAAAAGAGTGGCTGCATAAACTGGGTCTCGGCAGATACTGGACTCACTTTGAAAAAAATGGTTACAAAAAACCGCGTATGCTGGAACGACTTAAGGATATGAAAGTCGAATCTCTGCGCAAAGAACTAAAAGAGGATCTGAATGTTCTTAAACTTGGCCATTTGAATAAGATGATCAAGGCGATTACAAATATGCGGTATGCAACCTCAGGTAGCGGAGTTGTACAAATGATCACTGGCCTATAATAATGTTTATTAACTGAGGTTTTGCTAGTATTGCCAGAATGGAACCCAGATCCCTAGCCCTTGATTTCGACAAACATAACTGTTTGTTATTTAGGTAAATTATCTCATCGCTTTCCTCGCTCTGTCATTGGACGTTTCAGGGCCATATGTCAGTTGCTAAAACTAATGTTGACCAAACGGGCAACATTTTGGCAAAAGTGACGAATAAAAACATTTGGCGGGGAAGTATAAGGTGACTCGCGCATGCGCACGATAACTAGTTGAATAGTGATGGAAAACTTTGCCTTTCCAGTTGTTATAATTTGTTGGATATGAAGTCTTCTCCCCAAAAATGAGATTTTCAAGCCTTGCAACACGAGAAATAGCTAAAATAATTTCAGATAAAGACTTAAACAACGCAAGTGACAAAGACAGCTGTGTCGACTCTAGTAGAATGTAAAATAGTAGTACTGTAATCATTCTCTTCCATATCACTATTGGAGCTCCGCTATTAGGCGTTACCTAATTTTTTTATTAAGACTCATTTGTTGGCTAATTGAATTCATTTTGTTGCTGTTCTTGTGCTACTATAAATCTTTACTTCTTCTATAAAAGTAAATCACACTTTATAATTTGATGCAATAGGTTTTGACGGTTAGTATCATTTAAAATCTGGTAAACAATGGTTTAGTTGCTTAATGTGTTAAATGAGATCATTTACCTATACAGGACACCACTTTATGACTGATCCGTCGGATAACCAGTTAGTTTTGCTTCCCTTGAATTTCAATGTGGGAAACAAAACTAACTTTTTTCCTCTTGACTAGTCATTAAGTGTATATTATCACACGTCTTTACTTTTAAAAGTATTCTTTATTCGCGATGTGCTATTGAAGAAACTGACCATTTTTATTTTCATGTTAAAGCACAAAGAGAGATTCACCAGACACGTAAGATAGTTGATAAGGTGAACCCCATAGAAATTGACGGCAAAGAATTGCGTTTTTGGGAAATGTTACGATCAAGATGTCTGCTTCCAGAGTCTGCCGTATTTGGTAGCATGACAGAACTCAAGGAAAAACTAGAAGACTTGCGTGACTCTTTTTTGACCGTGTTTGCCATAGCTAACGTAATGTGGATTATTGTCATCATCACGCTCGATAAACAGGTAAGGTACAGCAAAAACTAGCTACACTATTGAATATTGGAAGAGGGTTGTCATGGAATGGTCGGGGACGCCCAGGCTATGCATGAGCCTGAACCTATGAGCAGTTTTCGTCGAATCAAATGAAAAAAATGAAAAAAATGACTCAACTCGTTTGAGTACGTTAAGTTCATAAATTTAAAACAAAGAGCAAAAACAGTTTCTTCACCTTCCAGTACAACTTATTTGACAAAAGGAGAAATGTCAACTAAAAGGTTTCGATTTGACTATTTCAAGTATTTCGAGCTTACACTGTAAATAATATAGTTTTTCAGACATCATGATTATCACTATGAATCCATGCCCGGGCGGGAATCCATGTATATAATTGTTTAGCCAATGGTTGAATGTTGATAAAGCATCTATTCTTCTTCATGTGTACGTACATGTGTACATATATACCATGAAAAGTTGTGCACAAAACCTTTTAAATTATGAAAAAGACATTAACTTTAAAAACTACTTAATGATTTCAGTAATTTCACAAATATTCGGATTCTTTAATGCGTTTAAATGACTAGTATGTGACCTAACCTTTGCCTGTAAAATCTGAAGAGAGCCCCGGAGCCCGGCTTGGGCAGTTAAATATACATATATGGATGGATAAAAAACAAGGCACAGAAATCTATACTAAAAGAGGGTGTTTTAAAAGGCTTGTTCATAATGCCGATATTTGTTGCGATTCAGTTTCTGGCGAAAAAACTTTGCCTTATCCTATTATCCTTATGAGACAAGTCAATTCTTTGACATTATTCGCTAGTCTCAAAGTGGCCACAAAAGTCGACGCAAACATCAGCATCACAAAATAAATAAATTGTACATGTAAGGTTTATAGACATTTTATTTTTCCGCAGGCTGAGCTCAAAGTCAAAGGCACAAATGCTATCGGTCTTGTTTTTTTATTTGTTTTTGGATTGGTGATTGTTATTCAATTTCTTACAATGATCTTCCATCGGCTATCGACTCTCTGCCATTTACTGGCTCGTGCTCTATGGAAAAGAGGTCGTTCTCAACTTTCGTGGGCTTTCAATGATGAAGATCTTAGACTCCACTCTAAACCTCAGCAAAGCGCATCGCTGTCAAAAGGAGGACGAGGTCAGAGTATGAGTTCTTTTTGCCAAATACAGAAATAATAATAACATATAATAAATAAATATAGAAATAATAATAAAAATAAAACGGAGTAGACGGAATAGAATGTTGACGAACGAGCAGGTGAAATAACTATTGTCATTATCGACAGACTCTAGTTATTCATGTATCAACACTAATATCAGTTTTCATGAATAATCAAGGTACAAACCACTGCTATTTAAGTAATAGAAGATTTTTTACCGGTGAAATAGAGCACGCGTGATGTTGGGAGAGACACGAGAAATTAAAAGTTTCGAACTTTTTCGCCTGCCGGCTCGTGACTTTAAAACTTTTCCGAGTGTCTCTCCCAACATCACAAGTGCTCTATTTCACCGGTAGCGTCAGGAAAAATCTACTATTACTTTTATGGTATCCATGCTGTCCAATTAAGAAATAATTGGACGAGGAAAATTCCGAGGACTGCCAAAAATTGGACGAGGCCGTGGCCGAGTCCAATTTGGCAGTCAGAGGAATTGTTCGAGTCTAATTATTTCTTAATTGGACAGCATGGAGTCTTATTACCTATTAATTATATAGCCACATATTGATCCCAAATAGGTAAAAGCCAACCACAGCTTTTAACAAAAACCCAATTGAAAACCTGTCCAATTAATTTCTTAATTGGACAGGATTCCAAAATTAACGAAAAATCCAGCTTTTACGTATTTGGGATTAATATGTGGCTATATAATTATAAAATTAATTTTGATAAAAATATGGTTGTATTCTAAGATGAATACAGATATTCTCCTTACATTGAGCGCGTATTACGTAAGACGGTAGAAAATGCGCAAATTTGCACTTTCAATCAAAACTTTCAAACGTGTTCAAGTCGCTAAATGGCTTAATTAAGGAAAAGTCAATGAAAACTCAAGGCTTGTAGCTTATGTAGACGTACCCTGCGAGCAGAGTGTATTTCCTTACCTCTGTCGTGGATAGCCACGATTTGGGCTCCCTGTCTAATTACATGTACGCATGCGCGAGCAGGCACATGGTTAGCGGGAAATAAAGAATCAAGTTGATTAGTGTAGTTCTCTGTTTGTCGTCCTAAACCACCGAAGAATTCACCACATGGTGCCGAAACCTGTTTAAAAAGAACCCTGAAGAAAAGCAGAGCTAAGTAAAGACTGGATTTAGGACATTAAGAGAGAATTAGCGACGAAAT